GAGGTCCAACCACATGGATCTCTCCTTATCACTGATCCTCTGTCTTGTTATGCAACAAACCATTATCCACAAACCATTAACCACTGTCGCAGAGTCAGTGAGATCTTTATCTCTGGACATCTCTCATTCCAAATGAACTATTTCAAGTTTTGCCCATTTGGAGGATTTCTCTTTCATGTGGTCCTTCAAGGCAATCCCTGAGTGGGATTATATTATAGTTTTGTAGTAGTTTCCTTTGGTTGGTGTAAAATATTATGAAGGTATCATGAAATATCATGCTTTAGCCCATCTCCCACTGGAGGATGGAATGGATACCACTTCCACTTGATGAAGGAGTGCTGCTGGGCATGCCCAGCTTTAAATATTGGTGTGTCATATAATATGCAGATCATGGTGGGCATCATAGATCATACCATCAATTAGTAATTATTGTAAGATGTTCATTTTTGTAGCCTAGTATCAATCTAGGAGCTGTTTCTAAAAAAAAAAGCATTTAGTTGCAGAAAATGGCATGATTTTGCTTCAAAGCCTATGGGTCTACTTTATGATCATTAGTGCTTACCAAAGGCTCCATGTAGTATCCCTATGTGCCACAGACAGACCAGCATTGGATTTACTGGGTCATGAGTCAGGGTTAGACCAACTTGTGTTTCCTTTTACTTTGACTCTACTCAAAGCTGTAAACCTTATGGGTAAGAGTTGGAGACGTATACAGAAATGTGGCACATGCTGCCTCCAAAATCCAAAGAGGCCCACCAAGCATTGTGCCTCTCTCTTAGTAGTCAGGGGTATAAGTTGCACAAAATTATCTTTCACTTTGAAGCAGAAAGCTCAAGAGGACTAAGACCATTGGAGCCCCAGAACTTTACTAAGGGAGTGGATTCCTGAATTTTCATGAGGTTTATCTCACTTTCTGGCATGCATCTTACCAAGGCATCAAGATGAATTTGTTGTATGCTGCTCACCAGGTCCTTCAAACACATGTTCTTTGGAAGTGCGAGGCAATCAAAGTCCTGGCAGATTAGAGCATGACAGAAAATTGAGGAGCTGACATAGCCTTGTGGGAAGACAAGCAAGTGTACTGCTGCTGCTGACAGGTGAAGTAAAGTGCTTTTGGTGGTCTTTACTAATTGATGTAGAGATAAAATAGTCTGCCCCGATGAATAGCAGTACACCAGTTGCAAGGGGCTATGTTAATCTGCTCTTGTAATTAGTAAAAGCAGCTCTAATTGGAATCCCTACCTGAATAAATTTTGATAATCTATTATCAATCTTTAAAATTATGTCTTCTGCACAGATCAAGCAGAAGAGTTAAAAGAATCAGACTTATGCTTCTGGAAAAATGGAGTAGATGTGCTTTACCTATTTCTCCTGCTAATTATAACTAACATCCTTGGTTGAAATACATAAAGCACCTATCATAAGACTCTGAAAAGAAGGTGACCTGGCTAGGTACTTTGGGGAAAATGGCCCATCAGAGAGCTTCCTGAGTTTTTTTTTTGCCTCCTGTGTATCCAGGTCACAGTGCAAGAGAAGCCTGCGCTCCCTAGCCATAGAAATGGGAAAAGGGTGACTCTGCAGGACAAAACCCATCATACTCCTGGTAAACACCATGTAAAAAGCCACATCCATCCCTATTGTCACTATTTCTGGCCAAGACTGTGGGATGGAGCCCTGTTGACCATGCCCGGCTTGCACTAACATAAGCAGAGGCAGCTTTCCCCTCAACTGGCACTGCAGAGACCGTGGTGGGGTGCACTTTTGACCACCACTGCAGTACACACTAAGTGAACAGCTGCAAAAAGGCAGCTTTCTGCTCCTTCCCAACTAGTGACTAGGTGAGATTTAGGAAACAGAACTAGAAAGCAGTATTCTTTAAATCTGTGTATGAAGTCCTGGGCAGACGTTCGAGTGGACCAACCATGAAATTAACCATAACCAACACAGTAAACTGAGCTATGTGTGGACTACTGCCCAGGTTTCAGATTGGGTAGCACCCATGTGGGGCAGACCAGAACAGCATTGCAATTACAACCAACCAAGAGGAAGAAAACTAAGAGAATTAGATGCCAGCCTTTTAAAAAAAAATGACTGAAGGAAATTCCCTTAACAAAATGAAAATGATAAAAGAAGCAGTCTTGGAACATAAGGAAGCAAGAAGGAACAATGGAAAGAGCAAAAATATAGATAATGTCTGCTGGCTATGAGTTCCCTCAATTTTTGTCTGAGAAAGTCTTTATTTATCCTTCAGTTTTGAACAATAATTTTCCTATATAGAATTCTAGTCTGGTGGGTTTTTCTTTAATTAAATATTTCACTGCACTCTTGTATTACTTGCAAACTTTTTTTTTAAAACAAGAAATTGGCTGTCATTCTTGCCCTTGTTCCTGTATAGGTGAGGTATTTCTTCCTCTAGCTTTTAAATATGATATAGCTAAGTGGTGGAGGTATATTTCTCTTACTTAGTATTCTGTGATCTTCCTGGGCCTGTATAGTTTGGTGTCTATTTTAATTTTTGAAAGTTTTCAGTTATTATTACCTTAAAGATGTCTTCTGCTCCTTTCTCCTTCTAGTATTCTGGTTATGCATATATTGCACATTTTAAAACTGTCCTACGGTTTTTGGATGTTTGGATCTGGTTTTTTGTTTCTGTTTTTTTCATTCTGTTTTCTTCTTTTGCATTTCAATTTGGAAAAAAGTTCTTTTGACCTATATTCAACTGTGCTAATTCTTCCCTCTGCTGGGTCAAGTCTACTCATCATCACCTAGAAGGCATTCTTCATTTCTGTTACAGTGTTTTGATTTCTTTCCTTTCAATTATTTTTTTGAGTTTCCATCTCTGCTTACATTGGCCATTTGTTATTACATATTGTCTACTTTTTCTATCAGAACTTTTAACATGTTTCTTAGTTCTTTTAAATTCCTTGTAGGATCATTCCAACATCTGTATCGTTATGTGTGTTGGGTTTTGAAGATTTGTCTGCTCAAAGCTTTTTTTTTCTTGACTTTTTGCATGCCTTGTAATTTTTTGTTTAAAGCCCAGTGTGATGTATTGAGTATTAGGAACTGAGTTAAATAGGGCTTTAGTATCAGGATTTATGTTTATTTGGCAAGGGCTGGGCAATATGTTTCATGTTGGCTGTAGCTAAAGGTGCCAGAGGCTTCAATTTTTTCTAGTGTCCTCGTTTATGTCTCCCTTGTTGCTTCTGGAATTCCCTACATACTTTTCCTCAGAGAGAATCTGTGTCTTGTAGCTCACTGAGTTGTTCTTATTGGATCCCTGTTTATGTGATGGTATGTTGTAGGGGAGAGGAAGTGTTTTCTAATATTCTAATTAAATATTAGTGTTTTTGTGAACCTATGTCTTGAGCTGTGAACTTCCAAGTGTTTCTCCAGTGATATAGCCCCTTCACTCCCACTCCTGAGCCTGGCTGCAGAGTTCCCAGTCTGTTTTCTTGAAACATTAAATCCTGCTGACTATTTTTTTTTCCCCTCATTATGTGAGACAAGAAGGCTGGAGGGGGGCTGCAGTAGGAGGAATTCCCTTCTCTGGCTGAAAGAAAACTCTGGTAAAGTCCTTTCTTTTAGAAAGTAGATCCTTATTATAAAGAAGGCTCTGGGCATATTTCAGTGGTTACTTATTTTCTTCCCCTACCAGTGCTATGAGGAGATATTTCTTGGATCTTCATCCTAACTGTAATGGGTCTCCTGGAGGTAAAACCCAAGAAAGTGTGACAGCCCCACTAAGCCTGTAGTTCCCAGGAGTTTTTCCCTTTTAAATTCGTCTGTATTCAGCATCCAGAAATTCATCATAATTACCATTACATGCTCCTACCAGTTTAGGGCTCCAGTGGCTTCTGCTCCAGGTAATCAAGTCTTGGTTGTGTCTCTTTGTATGAGCCTATCTCATCAGATTTCCACGTGGTATTGTGCCCTGAAATGTCAGTTTTCAGATCTGTCCAAAAGTCATTGATTTTTAGTTTGTCCACCTTTTTATAGTTGTAAGGACAGGAAGGATAACTTCCATGCTCTTTATAGTTTGGAACTGAAACTGGGAATCCCAAATATTCATTTATAATCTAACTTTCATAGCATCCCACTGTGATTCATGGACCAGAGTGGTTTGTTTTGGATCTTCAGAGTTTAACATTATCTTAGAACAAAGCTCTAGTAATCCACCCAAAGTCTGGGTGTTTTCCTTTTCTTGGTATATTCGTCAGGGTTCTCCAGAGAAACAGAATCAATAGTATATGTATATATATTGAAAGAGATTTTAAGGTATTGGCTCATGAGATTATAAAGGCTGGTGCATTCAAAATTTGCACTAGCAGTCTAGCAGGCTGGAGACTCAGAGAAGAGCCAATGCCGTAGTTCAAGTCCAAAGGCTATCAGGGTAAAGCCAATGTTGCAGTTCAAGTCCAAAGGCTGTCTACTGCAGAACTGCCCCCTGCTCAGGGGAGATCAATCTTGTGTTCTGTTCAGACCTTCCACTGATTAGATGAGGCTCACCCATCTTATGACAGGCAGTACTTAAAGTCAATTGATTTAATTGTTAATCTCATACAAAGGCATTCTAACAGAGTCATCCAGAATAATGTTTGACCACATATCTGGGCACTGTGGCCCAGGCAAATTGAGACTTAAGATTAACCATCATACTTGGTAAATGGCTACCAAGTATCTTGGGGGTAGTTTAGGAGGAAGATTTATAGTGTATACTTACAGCAGGGTCATAACATCTTTTCTTAAGGATTCTTTCTTAAGGTCCCCATCATCTGAGATGCTCTGGGTCTATGAACCTGCCAAAGTAAGAGAACTAATTGAGAAACTGGGTCTCTGCATTTGGGTAACATATCAAATTTTAGTTTACCAGATTATGTAAGCTCTACATAGGCTGCTCATTAATTAGTGAGCACCAAAGATCCCTGAAGATCAAGCCTGATTATATCTCTAACTCTGCTGCCCATTACAGTAACCTTGCTCACTTTTCTCTTTTCTAGTGCTGTTACTGGCCTCTGCCATTTTGGGATTCTATCATTAACACTGAAATCAGGGAGCCCATTTCAACAGTGGCATCTTCCACCATCATCTTACACATGCAGACACAGAAAGTACAGAGCTTTTCAAGAATAATGCTGCTCCTCTTGAACCAATGGATTTCTTTATGTAAAGCCATTGTCCTGTGTGTCTTACCGAGGGATACACTGAAAGGGTTGAGGAGTACGTTGCACATGATGAATCCAACATTCTTATCTCACTGAGTCTTTGGATCCTTTATTTTCTATTAAACCAAGAACGTTCTTGTATCTTAATCTAATTTAATGAAGGCATTGTTGAGTCTGGTTTCATTCAAACAACTCAGCAAACCCTTAGATCCTACTCCTGACTGACTGAGTTGATACACTGATTCCAGAATCTCTGGTGCTGCAAACATATTGATAATTTCCATAGTATATTCCATCTTCCTTGGTCTAGAACACACTCCTACACAGAAATCCTCCAGTGCCATGTACATTAGCAATATCATGCTATTATCTCCCTGTGGTGTCAGACATCTTATTCACCTTCTTGAGGTATGCTGACATCTGACTCTGGCTGTAGATCTAGAGGTAAAGAAGCGTTGACATACCCTTGCAAGGTTAATGCTTTACTGATGCCATTACAGGATCTTCAAGCAAGGGATGGCCAGCATCTCAGAGAGGATAGGAGGGACTGCTTTATCTGGACAAGGGGGACTCAGTGAGATTTGGGGAGTCAAGATAATCAAATTCAACTCAAACTACTAAAATGTCCCCATTCTAGTCTTAGAGTTTTTAATTAATTTCAAACTTTCACATATGAGTCCTAGTAAGGCTGTGAATTCAGTATGTATGATAATTTGGCAATTAGCAGGATCAGACATTGGGTCTGACTTGTAAATACCTTCTCCCTGCAGCTACAGAAGTTAAGAGATTTTCTTAGAGTGCTGATGCTCTTTCTCTGAGCTGTCATTTTATTGTGTAAACTCTCCAGGGCATTCAGAAGCCACTAGCATTCTCTATAGTCCTTGTAGACATAATTTCCACCAGAATAGTTTAATTTAGCAACTGTTTGGTCTAGCAATGACTGTCTTCAACTGGCATTCTATTCCGCACTGATAATTTAAGTAACTCTTTCCTTTCCATGGGTAAGACCATCATTCTCCACTACTGATAATGCTATCATTGACTTCAAGCAGAACTGAGTCAGCCAATCCCTTTAAGCTTTAAGATAGTAATCTTAAAGCTACTTTGGCCTCAGATACAGTCTTTGTTAAGGTTCATTTAGAAAAACAAACAAAACACTAAAAATATTTCAAGCAGAGCAGAATTAATATGTCAGGAATAGGTGCAAATAAAACCATTGGAAGGACTGGAAGAGCAAGAGACAGGGTAGATGGAACACCACTATCTTCAGGTCAACCACTGAAGCTCTAGTCCAGGACAGCAAGAAATTGCTACTGCCTCCTAGGTTGGAAAACCACAGGACGTTTCCATTGACTGACACAGCTGCCTTGCTGTGCCAATGTAGGTGGCAACTAAGGAAGCACTTCATGTCTGCTGCCATCCATGCATCTGTCTGCTGCTGTCAGAGAAGCAAGAAAATAGTCTCTAACTTTTATTCCATTTTCTAATTCTCATACAAGTGTATCTCATTGACAGAGACTGGAAAACACTCAGAACCCTGAAACCAATCTGGGAATTAGAGTTCTCTGGCTTCCAGTCCCAGTGATACATAGAAAGAGAATCATCAGGAATGGGGATAAAAGCTCCCTTCTTCCCCCATGGCATCTAGCACTGAAGATAATTCCCAGCTTTTATGAAGGCTGTAATTTCAATTCCAAGTGGATGGAAAACTGTTCGGAGACATTCAGTCCAGCATTTCTAGCTCACCATTCACTACCACCCACCCCTGCCCCTCCCCACAACACACATATTTTGCCTACTGTTTTTTGTTTTCTACTTTCTTGCCTCTCTGCCCAGTCTCTATGCCTGTCAGCTACAGGACCCAGAGTGTGCAGAAGATAATTGAAGGAGGAAGCTTAGAGGAGGAAGAAGACAGGTTCTATTTTTCCCTAGTCTTAGTACTGCTAGTGTTCTGATGACTTCTGTCCTTTCTTCATCATTTTAGGACAGTGGAATTTTGAAAGTTCATTCTCAGTAAAAATCTCAGGAGATAGATTAGATTTACAAAATATCCAGGTGTAAATAATTTTCCAACTAAGATGACAGTGCAAAATGTATACCTTTGTATCTTTTGCATTTTTATAACACACACACACACACACACACACACACACACACACACACACGGGGGAGAGGAGGTGGAGGGAGAAAGGGGGGTGGGGAGAGAGTTAGCTCAAGGCTAGTAATATGGTAGTGCTTTGAGTGTATCATCTCTCTTTAAATCCTGTCCAGCTCTGAGATGTGAAAACTGAAGCTCAGAGGTTGGGTAAGTTGGCCACGATCCTACAACTCTATAAGAACTCTCACCTGCCCATATTGGCTTCCATGAGATGTGACAGGGGAAGATACTCTAAAATTAATGGAGACTAACTCTGTGAGTCTGGCTTCCCTGTCAGAATCTTCTTCTATCTCAGCTGAATCTGCCAGGCGAAGTTCCGTCCGATGTCTCTGACATTGGGCTCATGGAGAGTCCCAACCTCCACATCAACCGGAGACGGAGTAGGAGTGACTGAAGATGGCAGGCTCTGGGCCAGGAGCAGCAGGACTTCGCGGAGGGCCTGAGAAGGGGGTAGGGAGAGGGGGAGGGGGCGGGGGTCTACCACGCCCCCGCCCTTCCGTCCACTCCCATTGGCCGAACGTTTGCTGGCCCTATCCCACTGCCCACCCCCAGGATGACGCTTAAAGTGCGGAGCAGGTGCCTCTTGTGGAGCAACAACTTTCCGCTGGTGTCCTGGCTCGGAGGC